CAACCAAAGCGACTTAGATACAAATAAATTCCATCAGTACCTGCTCTCCGTCATCGCAGTTCCAAACTGATGCTTCAAATTCAAAATGTTTACACCACAAACTCTACTCCTAGGATGAAAAATAATTTATCACCGGAAAAATACAAACCATGAGTTCAGAACTGCTAACAAATTAACCTTAGATTGATACTGAGTGACGTTTTAAGATGAAACATAAGCGTGAATCGTGGTCTTTGAATTACCCGCATACTGCTTTACCAGCTGTCACGAAACCAAGTTACTTTCTTCCAGTCACCGAGAGTTGTACTCATTGGTCATATGCGGTGCACAACTGTCCGCTCATCACAATCACATCATCTACTCGGCCAAAACTTAGCCTCTTAGTCCAAACTGAGGTGAATTAGAGAGGAAAGCGTCCTTTTTATTGTTGTTAGAACTATCAAGGCTGACTATGGTATGAGAGCTTGGCAACCCAAGTGTCACCGGTCCGAATCCTGATACAAACCAGCCTTTCATTTCACTTTCAGTCAAAATTCGTATCAGTTATACTAGTTTGTCAAATCATATCTACCACAGAAACTCCCAATAACGATAATTTAAGATCTTTAGGAAAGTAAATGTGTTTAGATGGAAAGTTGTAATAAATGGTAATGGTAACATAGTTTATTGTTGTAGGAATTATTTTGTGAGTTTTTGTGTAGCGCAGAGGACGATATGAAATGGGTAGGAAGTAGCAAAATTGGAGTGCACTCTTAATCGCAACATGGTCTATGTGTAATACAGTGAGGACGGCACAGTGATAATGAAACCAGTAATGCGGTGTTCATTAATGTCGATTTATTTATTTACAGACTTGACCGCTTCAGCTATCAAGGTTTAAGTTACCAGGTAGAATCCTTAGTGCTCACACACTAGGTCTTGTTCATTGCCTACTGCAAAAATATTCATCATGTTGCTGAGTGGATTTCAATTCCGATACCAATCTGAAATTTGAACTCTCTGTTGGTCAATGTTACATTATAACAAAGGAAAGGAAAACTTAATAATGAGAATGTAACTTTGACCAACAGACAGTTCATATTTCAGATTGGCATCGAAATTGAAATCCATTCAGCAATATTATCAATATTCTTACAGTAGGTAATGTGTCGGATGTTATATATGAGGGCTTATGATTCTATCTGGTTACAAAAACTACGATAAATGGAGCAGTTCTTGAACCCGCTGCCCAGTGACTGTAAGTCAGTTCTCTAAACCAATGGGCTATAACATCAAAGCACAATCATTAAATTAAAAAGCATTTATTTGCTCACTACCTTCTTAATTAGTAATCTTTTAGTCCGAATGACTTTGATATTGCGATTCTCCCGATTACTACTATAGTCTGATTGATATAACACGTTTTATACCAACTTATGAGCAAAAGAATATTAAAATATATATTAAAAAATAACATGGTTGGTAGATTTTCCAAATGAAAAGTTGAATGCAACTAAGTATGAAATAAAACACTGTTGTAAACGCCGACAAAAACCTACACGAAACTCACTGAAAAACTCAAGTACTAATAATTTTTAACAAGGAAATCACTAAATATAAAAGAGAAAGCGATAATAGAGGGTACTTTGTTCATTAGGAGACAGTTTGTTTTTCATTTGACTTTACTTTCAGGTATGATTAATCACAAAGCTATTCAGTACCATTAATTCTTTTATCTTCCAGTATCCCGTCGACTCCAATGACCAAGCTTTGGATTCATATTTTGTTAAGGCTTACAAAATTCAGGCATATGCACAAGTAATGGAGAATATTTGTAGCTAAGGTGGATGGTCTTCGTTATATTGTGTTCTCTGAGCTGGGTCGTTTAATCGTGAAGCTTTTATCGCCTTGCTAGATGACATGATCAGCACTAACTTCAGTATGAAGTAAGCTATCAGTATCTCTTCGTGAGTGATTTAGTAGCTTGCTACAGCTCACTTCATACTGAAGTTAGTGCTGATGATGTCGACTAGCAAGGTGATAAAAGCTTCACGATTAAACAACCCAGCTCAGAGAACACAATACAACCAAGATATGCACAAATGTAGAACTTGCACACTATGAAAGAATATAATTCCATATACAATACATTTATTTAATACGGTACACAATTACACATTATTATTTATTCGATGACATTTTGAGCATAATTTATTGCTCATAATCATATAAGAGTAACTACACAACTTTCGACGTCTGATTTACGTATTATTTGTAGCAAAATTATCCATAATGTTTCAAACTACTGCTGAATTACTATTTATCAGGTTTATCAAATAATATGTTATTGTCATTTGGCAGATTAGTCACAGCTGAATTCTCTATTTTCGTTAAATGTCTTCTTGTCTTCTTTAATTTTTCGAGGGCTAATGAACACCATATGGTAAGCAGTTTGGCGTTTGCCGCATCCGTCAGATGTAATGCAACTTCTATGATAGGTATGGCATCTTTGAGTTTTAGATGACCCACTGTCACGCTGAAACTCAGCTGATACGAAAGTTCTTGAAAAAACTCTCTTGTGTTACCACATAAGGAAGGAATATAAAAAAATTTACACTGAATTCTCGAGAAGGCTGGAATTAAGGTAGTGCTCAAACCTGCGAACGAAATCAGAGACAAGCTTTGTCAGCTTAAGGATCCGATAGATCCAACTGCGCAAAATTGTTTGTTCTACCAAATCCCATGCGATAACTGTGAGGTCAAGTGTATGGGTCAAACCAGTCTATCGGAGTCAGTTAGATTAGTGTAACATAGGAACTTAGCTGAATATCGAATGACAGATCACAATAAGATCAGTAATCTAGAAAAATCTCGGCTATTTCAATTCATGCATGCATGCATCACACAATAGGGTGCGAAAGAACCACCGTGCTTAAGTACAATATAGTTAGGTGGAGAACGAGATATTAGCCGGTTTTAGGCAATTGGAAGTCCCAGACCTAGGCTTCTTACTTGTTGCTACTCGTCAGAAAGGCATATTTACAACATCGAGGGAACTGATGTCCTTTGTGAGATTGGAACCCGCGTCACTTAGTGTTGTGGTAAGTGGCTTCAATACTGGGCTGTTCGAGTCATGACTGGCCTCCTGAAGGACTGGATTAGATGCATCATTGGTCACTGTAGAGCGATCAGTTACAACTATCTAGTTCTGTGTTCCGACCGAACTGTGTGGATCGTTTTTGTTATGCCTATATCAAGGTAAGAAACTCACCGTCACGGGCAAACTTTTGATGGTGTCGGTTGACTGGAGGTAATCGGCTGACTTCAGCACTCAGTGACACGAGTTCGATTCTCAGAGGGTTACAGATACGTCTTGCTGCCAAGTGTCAAGATCCATGAAACTTAGATCTAGGGCTTTCCACCAACTCTTCCCAACAAAATAACATCCATCAAAAGTGCACCACGGTGGTGAGGCTTTCAGTTTAAACATAGAGCAAAAACGATAGATACGATTTGTTCAGTACTTGGGGTTAGACAATATGTGATTGGTCACTCTGCAGTGACCAATCAGTGGAAAGAAAGAAACTGATAGATTTCTGAATCTCTTTTCATCGAATTTACACCCAACAAATATAATAGGAATGACGCAACGCTTATATGATAGATGTGAAAAATTTCACGATCAGTAAAATCAAAGAAAGCTAAGTGTCGTAGGACTATAAAAGCCAGATGTCAAAAGTTGTATGATTACTTTGACGTGTTTATGAGCAATAGTTTATACTCGAAATGTCATTCAGTAAATATTACCGTATCACTACATTAAACGAGCAATTCTAATATGGACTTTAAGCATAATCTACTTGAATGAATAATTACTTTTCCATTTCCCCTTATTTCACACCATTAATATTTGCGTTTCCATCCCAGCAAAAGTTTTGCTGAACCACTTTAAAGAAATTGTAACCCATCTATTAATTGACTTACTAATCTTACGTTGTTGTCAGTCTTGAATTGCTTTCATAACTTACAGTGCTGAGTGAATACCCCATTCCCTTATTAAGAAGCTTAATATGCATCAAGCTAAGTGTTAATGATACTAACCATCGTAATTTATGCATAAATATGATTAAACATATTTTAAATAGTAATTTTTGGAATGAAACTTTTCTCTGCCGAAATCCTCAATATCATGTTATAATGGGAATTGTAAATTTTGAGAAGACTGTGACCACAACTGTGTGCATAAATTTAATTAAAGGGATACAGATCCTGAGCATACGATCTATATATATTCTGAGATCATAGGTCAAACTCTCTGGTCAGAGGGAAATGTTCTCTAAACTAGGGTTTAGGATAACAACTATTTTTTATGTCATACAAAACATCCTTATCACTGCTTCATAAAGGAGTGAGCCTAATTGACTGTGCATAGATATTTATAACATTTTCCGTTGTCGGAACCCAACCAGTTTGGCCATCAAACGTGTATATGGATGTGCTGAGTCTCACTGGTTGATATTTGTATCTGGTTGTCTCAGAGGAGTTTGCAACTACTTCATCAGTCTACTTATGCTTCTAAATGCAGTAGAACAAGGTGGTTTTGTTACAATTGACTGTTCCTTCTTGTTTGAATGAGCTGATGAAAATCGCTTTGATCCAACTGGTGAACGTATTTCATTTGAATGAAGGGATGAGAGCTCTGTTGATCTAACTGACTAACTCTTCCATACTGTGCAAGACTTCTGTAGACCGATCGGTGGCTTTGTTTCTTTTGAAGAGTAGTTCATGCTAGTCGATATGCGCTGACTCATGTTGGCTAGTTGGTTTCCTTAGAATGAAAAGTTTGCCAACCAAAACTTTAGCTCAGAGAACAGCTCAGTCCCAAGATTCATATTCTGGACTATAAATAATCTTCGCAATTGTGAAAATTTGTATACAAAGAGAATTTTAAAGGATGTGATATTTACAGCTCACCCAGTCAAACTTAATCAGTTGATCGTTGGTAAAAATTAAACACTAACCTTCATCATTAGTATTAATGTATTGATAGCAATCATAACCATTATGTAGTATTCAAATGGAGTAGAAACTACTAATCTCCAAACACGATATTTCATTGAATGTTTATCTTTGGGCATATAACGACATAATGGTTGAGCATTGATGGCAAAATCGATACAACGTTTCTGTAACAAGATAAGATAAAAAACAAAATATAGAAGAAAGAAAAATAATTTGAGAAAACTGGGTTATTTTGGATGAAATCGAAGTCATTTACTCATTAACTACCTATTTTCATAGGCCATTTTCAGGATTACCAATACTTTGAAGAAATACTAACCAAAATAACTAAATTCTCAGCAACTACATGCACGTCTGTGCATCATACGATAAGCCATACATGTCTTAGAGCCAATGACACTACTTAGTTGTCCAAACTTAGGCAAGTGAAGGGGAACTTTAACTCGTGACCCACTGGTTGAAAATCAGTTGACTCGATTAATGAGGAGATAATCTTCTTGGAAAAATTCATGGAATACATGTTCTTTGATCTTATCGTTGTTAATAACTTGAGCTTTACAGCATTACCCTAACCAGTCACGCAGGAAATGAATCAATACTACTTAATTCATTGGATTTTCTTCTTAAAAATTAGCTAAACGTTAAAAAATATACAAGACAGATGACCAACCGTATATTTCTTCTGTTAAACAGTATTTTAAAAGTTTCTGAAAAGAGTGAATATCATATGCTAGAAGTTAGTCGTCTTGAAGTCCTGTTTAACCTAAGTTTGATAGATGTCAGCACTCACCAGGAATGATTTTCGTAACTACAACGAAATCGGTGTTCTCTCGTTGAATTTAACTTGTGTCGCTTAATACCAAAGTCAAAGGCCTTACAGTCAAGGTATGTAGACCACAACTGACCCCATGCATTAAGTACACTGACTAATCATCAGCTGGTAACCAGTTTCAGCACCATTGTCCTTTATGCTCAGCATTGACTAGCCTTTATTGATCAAAACACTGAGTATAAAGAACTTGTAAACAACTTGTCAAAGTAGTTCATAAGGAAACTTTGATATTCATAATATCAAATCAAAATGTAAATTCACCCATTCCTAGTTGTTATGGTTTCAATCAAAACGTCTCAACCACTATTTGTGTTGAAAAGTAACAGTACTACTCTAGTACTACCATTTTGATTTTCTTACCATCCAGCTTTTATCTTACACAGCAATAAACATCGATACATTTGGTGAACAAATGATATAAGTATCGAAAAATTAAATAGTTTGAGTTTATATAGACTCAAAAATTTATGAAGAAAAGTTTTCTTATTAATCAAACTCCACTTTTGACCTTACGACTAATGATTCAGTTGTCTCATTATATGGGAATGATGGTAGAGAAGTAATGATGTACAGAAATCGGAAGCTTTGTTTCATCTTTCAGATTTCAAGTCAACGTCTGACAGGTATGTTATGCAATGGAGGTTATCAGCACCTTTTACACATTAGCCGCAATATATGAAATGAGGTAGACTGCTTTATCATATAAGACAGGTTAAAGCTATATGGATGTGATGAGAAATAATATGCCATTTTAATTAGTTAAATATCAGTGGTTAAGAACCAGGTTATTCTCCATAGTTGTAAAACACACGCTAAACCGTTAGATTTTTCTTCAAGTACTTTGGTAATATATACTGTTAACCTAAATACTTACTTGTTTGTTACCTGTATACTCTAAAGTGGTCACTTTATTACTTGTTATGATGTGTATTCTATGAGAATACCAACCTCCAGCTTAGTGAATACACTGAAGCCAATTATTCGTCATTAAGCAATTGAGACGGCTTTAGAAATGGTAAATAAAACAGATTAGGCTTATAAGTGTCCGAAGCCTACAACTCTTTGAGGATATAGCTGCTTCTAAAATTTATATTTAGTTTGGTAAACGTAGTTCCTACGACAGCCGAATCAATAAATGAAAATCAAAGCCCACCTATCTATCTGTTCAATAAATTTAGTAACTTTTCCATATTATCTACTGAGAACAAAATTTTTGAAGTTAGCCGAAATAAACCGCTAGACCTACGTCTGTTTTATTTTGAGGACAAATATTTTATTCTTTAGGGATTTGAAATTGTCTTTAGATACAACAAAGTTCCTCTCTTTCATATAAAGGATATCAACGATATTTCAAGGATCTTTCTTACTTTCTCGTATATCATGGAAATTAAAATACTTGTCTTCAAAATACAAATACCTTATAATCGGTAACCGTTATGAGTATACACGCCTAGTCAGTAGACTTGACAAGGTCATTCTACTTGCAGGTCAAATTTAGCCCCCAAAAAGTGCTAATTTAACATTTTTGATATCATTCTCATCAGTCATCTCATTTATATGCTAGTGTGACCGGCATTACCATCCTATTCGTATTCCTTTTGAGTGCTACTGTGACCGCACTACTGTAAAAAACTGGTATTTATCATTGTCTGTTTGAATTCAGTCGAAGTGCATGGTAGAACTATTTACGAACAGCTTTTAGTGACTCTTCAGGAATGCTTGGAAAGGTTGGATGGTGTTTATATGCGAATTACAACACCAATTTTTGTTCTTCCTACGCAGGTCTGAGATTTTTAGTTCTAATTAGTGTAAATTACGCACCTCAGTCGTTACGCAAACAGTATGGTAATCGTTGTAGACTCTTCATCTAAAAGGTGATAGCGTTTCGTCATGTTCTAGTACTTTTGAGGCAAAAAGCTGTGAGCACTGTGTAAACACTGATTCGCATTAAATTAGCTTCATACAGATAACGTTTGCAGTCTGAATAATTGACACGGTTCTACAGTCCACAGTATTTCGGGATTCTACATACAGAAATGGTCTGAATGATCCTATCTCAAATGTATGCATAAGTTGTACTGGGTTGAAGACGAAATAAAAGTTTGAAACGCTGCCTGATTTGAACCAGCGACTACCGAGATTTTGGGCCGACACTCTATCAACTGAGCTACGAGGTTCAAGTGCTGATCAGATTTTTGTTTCACTTCAATCATCAAATAGTTTTGTCTGACTAGAGCATCGGGAGGGAAACCCGGTGGTCCCTGGTTTGAATCCGGTCGCGGTTCAAAATTTCATTTTCTCTTCAGTAATCACCCAGAATGAGAACTACGAGTCTGGCAAACCACAGCTATCTCAAACAGTCAAAATCTTATGCGTCATCTTGTTATATTTGTTTTTTAGCTGGATGATGCAGATACTTGCGTACCAAATATCAGGTTGCAAGTTAATGACAACTTCTTCTGCTTCATAATGAGTAGCTGTATTGTATAATAAGCCTTAGAACACTAAGTATGCCCTAATGTCTGGTTCACGACTGCTTATTGGAAAATGGTAATGCATTCATTCAACGACCTAATGTTGGTATTTAGTATACAGAAATTAATAAGAAAACCTTACTGCAATCTTTACACAACACAGCATTATGTCTTACAAATGGGATTTGTGAGATTCTAGATATTTTGTTGACTGAACTACTTAGGGAGGTCTTTTTCTTATAGATCAGTTACGATATAAGGAAGAAATGGATGGAGTAGAAAGGAAATCCAGTTACTTTCAGAATTTGAACTAGTTTTCCTGTAGTTATTGATTTATTGAAACTGAAAACCTAACTTCTGAGATTGTCTCAGTTCCACTTTTACACTAAAACGTTCTATTGAACTGTTATGTGAATGACGGATATATGAGCGTCTGTTGATCAATACTACATAGGAAATTCAAAGTTCATTTCACCCCTTAATCTCTACCTTCCACCAACAGTTTAAACTGTCTTCACTATTGACCATTAATGCCCGTACGTATATCCTTCCAGCCGACTTCAACAATATTTAGAAAAATTAGTTCCTTTGATGGATTTGCATAGTGTAATAAGAAGATGGAGGTTATCTGAGAAATATGTGATGTATTCGTGCAATACATTTCGAACAATCTGATCACACATTTCCTTGTTAGGACAGTTTAGATGAAGGCTGAAAATAGGATAAAGTAAGATAAATAAATTAAGATAATACAAGATTTAGAGAATATATGGATAATAAGGAGGAATTAGACATTTTCACACCTCCCTTGACATCAAAATGAGATGAAGATTACCGAGAAGGGTTAAAGGTAAGGACAAACTGTATTTGAATATACAAAGGGAGTTTTAAGTTTCGTCTAGCTAAGGCTGTAATGAACCTAAGTATACGGTCTTGATGGCTCCTATACAATTATCTGAAGGCTATTTTGGTTAACTAGTTCACTAGTTACTAGCCGGTCATAAGCCCGGGTAAAGAGGGAAGGTTGGGCATAGGGCTAGCAACCCTACCCCGGAAAACAAATCTAACCGCTAAACAAACTTCAAAGCACAAACAAAATATAAAAAATGAAAACAAACTTATTCCCCGCTGGAATCGGAGAGGCGAAATGACGCCAGTTGGTGAAAGCCTTCGGGAAGCCAATTGGCCGATGTGTCTTCTCTCGATGAAAGCGAAAGTAAATGTGGGGACATGGAATGTCCGTACGATGTTTGAACCCAGTAAGGCAGCCCAGATTGCAAAGGAGATGAGAAGGTATCACATCGAGGTGCTTAGGATTTGCGAAAGCAGATGGAATGGGAGTGGACTCTCTAAAATGTCTACTGCAGAATCAATAATCTACTCAGATATTGTCACCCAGACAACAACCACGAGCACACTGAGTTCTCCAGTGGCTATCATGATGTCCCCAACAGCATCGAACACTGTCTCCCGTGCAGTGGGAATCAATCTCCTGCAGGATCACGACAGCAAGATTCAACTCAAAAGGAAGGAAGGTCACAATCATACAATGCTATGCACCTACATATAATGCAGAGCAAGAGAAAAAGGAGGATTTCTACAGACAACTGCAATCAACACTGGACAAGACACCACTCACGTTGACGATATCAAAATTCTAATGGGTGGAGTGACATGAATGCCAAACTGGGAGGGGACAACACAGGAAGAGAACTAACCATGGGTCGAGAAGCGCTAGGTGAGATGAACGAGAATGGAGAATTGTTTGCAGAATTCTGTGCATTCAACGATTTGGTGATTGTAGTCAGGCAGTGTGTTCAAGCACAAGGATATCCACAAAGCGACATGGATTTTACCA